TGTTGTTGTGTGTGTGTGTGTGTGTGTGTGTGTGTGTGTGTGTGTGTGTGTATGTGTGTGTGTGTGTGTGTGTGTCTGTGTGTGTCTATCTGTTTGAAAAAAAAATAATCTTCGGACGATGGCTTTTGTGTAAGCTTTCACTCTTCTTTGAAAGCACCACGACAAGCGATTTCCGGGATCGTTCACCTCTTCTCTTCAACTATGAGGATATCGGGAAAGTAAGAACGTTGAGTGGAACACGCAATGTGACATGTGACAATCTCCCGATATCATTTGAAATGTCTTAGATATGGAGTAAAACTACAATGAGCTTGTGTAAAGTGCTGTGGTAATTAATTAATTATTCATTCTCAGTATGACACTTGTTAATTATGTTGCTATTGCCTGCTTGTTATGGAAGTTCCGTTCCATAGTGAATTTTTTCTTTCGTTAAATAACGAAAAATTTTCAATGGATTAATAAAATTTGTCATCAGCGAAAAAAATTTGCAGATTTCGTCTTTTTTTTGATAATCTTTCTTTAAACTACTATTTAAATTGATTTTAACATAAATTATTTTAGGATAGAAGCTTGAGAAAGGAAATGGCAAAGGATGTATAAACAGATTGGCTAGTATCATCAAGGACGATATTATAGGTTAGAAGGAAAGAAGAATCTAATTTCAGACAATTGTTGTTCTTGCAATCAGCCATAAAGAAAAGCCTATTTTCTAGTAAATAAGGCTAGCAAAGAGATAAATAGGCCGCTATAAAATGGTTCAATATATTCATCTTGAAAATTTTTTAAGAAAAAACAAGCCTAATTCCTTCTTTGTCATCATTTAAAAAATCTCAATTACACCAGATAAAGCAATCGATCTAATATGATGTCATATTATCAACATATGATCGCTTTTGTGAAATAAGAAATTTCTCGTAATGTTGAAGTTTTTCTTCGTAAAATATGCAAAATACCACATTTCCAACTTCCCAACGATCCAATTTCATTCTTACATTGTCGTAACAAAGGTGAGAAAACGAATAAAAATTGCTTATTGAGATTATTAATTTTATTGGGTTTCCTTAGCAGCGCGGAATGGAGAAGAAATTGTAAGACAACTTGTGAGATCATCAACCTCGTGATTAAGCAAACTAGGCTTGAGCCAAGGGTTAATGATTTGCCTTTCTGCATATAATTTGATATATCAAATCCTTTCGAGCCTGCCTTTGCCTTTCCTTTTAAATAAAGGATTTGTTCCCTCCTCGTCTATGAATCTTCTGCACAATGCATGCAGCTAATTCCTTTCTGATGCATACAATCGGGAAATGGAATGAGAAACCGAAAAAATTTACATTTTCAAGTCCTGCAATTCGGGAAGGATCCACTCATCGTACTAATATTAATGCCATTTAGAATAAACACGATATTTTTTATTCATTTAATTCTCTAATCATAACTGCTTAGATGTAAACATTACTGCCTGTGAATCCTTTCTATGTGGCCCAAATGGTCATTCATAGGCTATTATTATTTAAGTTAAAAGTTAGTTTTTTTTTCTTAGTAGTCATAAGGAGCAAGGGCATTCATAGTAGGAAATGATAGTAAGATAAAATTAGTAACCAAATCTCTCTTTTTATTTCACAAAATGAGAACTGATGAGCTTGGCTAAACCAGGCATTACAAGCTAAAGACTAGTCCGGAAAGGGAATTTTCACCACAAGATCATTAGCAAATTTGCACATCAACTGGTAGTTAAGAATATGGAAGAGGAAGAGGAGAGAAAGAAAGAGAGAGAGAGAGAGAGAGGAAAAAAAAACAGAAATTTAAAGTTGAAATGTAATTTTGCGAACGAATGTGAAATTTCATCAGTTTTCCATTCCAATTTCCAAGCTGGCTACAATTATTTATTTGATTTAATTGTGCCTTTGAATGGCTCGAAAAAGATGCTTGGTTAAGAATGAGGTAGGAATGGAAAATATTTTTCAATGACCAAAAATTTTTTTTATTTAAAAAAAATAAATCCCAATTTCTAATGAATAAGAAGATCAACGATCAGAATTGAGCAATAAACGATAAATTAACAAGTAAAATTAAATGTATAATTTCCATTTTCTAATGTGTTAATCTTAATTTCAATTAATTTCCATTCAATTTATGAGACATTTTTCTCTATCCCATTTAACCAATCCTCTCTCCCTCCCTCTCTCTCTCTTTCTCTCCCTTTGAATTTTTTGGACATTATCTAGAAATAGCAAAAATTCGTCTAACTTCACCATACCTCAGCGACATCAAATTCTCGATCCATCAAGCATAAGAAAAAAAAGTACAAAGCTGTTCAAGTGAATTACTGGAAAGATTACTTTTTAAGAAGAAAAAACATCTATCTTGGCTACCATATATCCGTGATATGGAAATTATTACTGTCTAATCTCAAGCAGCTCAATAAATTTTCGTCATTCTATCGGAGAATTGTTGTATAATTTGGATTTTCGACATGCAAAAGAAAGAGAATCTATAAATTCAAATTAAAACTGCGAAAATTAAAAGTTGGAAAATTTAAATTTCTTTTATTATAAGGTAAAAGAGGTTTTTTATAAATTCTATTCACAAGAATCTGCGAATGGAAGGAAAAGGATGAGAGTTTGTCAAAGATAGAAAACAAAGAGACTAATTTCTAAATGAAGAAAATTGATAGTAAACACAATTCAACAATTTTCTTAAAATCTATTACAACTAATCAAGGAATATGGCATCTTTCCAGATTTTAAAATATATAACATTTGTGCGAAATATTTTCGTTATCGAAAAATTTTCAACTTTAGCTAATTGCTTCGAGAAAGAGAAAGAGAGAGAGAGAGAGAGAGAGAGAGAGAGAGAGAGATAGTAACTCCCATTAAGTTAAATTAAATTAGACAACTGAGATGTAGTC